CACCCACCCACCCATCTCTCCACCTCTCCACCACCCTATCTATCTATCTATCTAGCTATCTAGCTAGCTATCTATCCATCCATCCATCCACCGGCACAGTAAACACCTGGCGTGGCTGGCTCTGCGGGAGGGAGAAGGGCTCACGCCGCGGGGCAGACCCGTCCCCCCTGCCTGCCCCCCGGTCTCTGTCCCTGTCCCTGTCCCCGGCCCTGCCAACCGAGGCGGGCTTCTTCCCTCCGGCCTCACGCACCAGAAGTTGGGGGTCGATCCCAGGGCTTTTGTCCGCGGGTTTGGGAAGGTGCCTCCATTGCCATGGGGCCGACGGCCAGCGGGATGCCGCCGCTCCCCAAAGCCCGGGCAGGTGCATCGGGGAGCGCGGACCCGCTCTGCAGGGCAGCCTGTGTTTATTAGCAATGCTCCTGCCACCGCAGCGGGGCTCGGGCTGAGGCTAACCCGCGTCTCCCGTGTGATACCGACGCATCACGCTAAAAAAAAAAAATAAAAAAAAAAAAATATATATATATATAAAAAGGGGGGGAAGGAAGGACGGGGGCGGCAAGTTGCTCCGAAATAGCGTCAGATCGCCGGGAGGATTTAGATGCAGCTGCTCATCACAGGAGGGGCATTAAAATCCTGCCGCTCCCGATGAGCAGAGCAGAGGGGATGGAGGAGGTGGCAGCCCGCGGAGCCAGCGGTGCCATCTTCTAGGCCTAGCCGGGAAGGCGATCCTGGAGGAGAAGTTTCACCTCCTGCCAAGTGGCCTGGCGGGCTCGGGGTCAGGCGGGGAGAGCGGGGCGCTGCGGCGCTGTGCGGGGAGCCGCGGGCCCGCTGGCGGGAGGCCTTGGCGGGGCCGTGGCTCTGCGTAAGGGGGAAATCGGTATATTGGTGCGAGGGGGCTGAAGCCCGCACGGATCCGCGGCCACCTCTGCTCCGCTGAAGCTCGGATCCCGGGAGACCGGGCCATTTTAATTCGCTTTCAATTCCCCTTGCTTCAGTGTGTCTGGCCGGCCAGTCATTCCCCCCTCGCCCTCCCCCGCTGGTTTTTGTTCTCCTCCGTTTTCCCCTCTCCCCTTCTGCCCCCTCCCTTTCTCCTTCTCTCCACCGCTGTCTCCCGGCCTTGAATGTCATCTCATCTTTCTTTTCTTTTCTTGTTTTGGCCCCTATTTTTTCCTTTATTCCGCTTTAAATTCTGGGGTCCGGGTTTTAATTCAGTGGAGTGAATGGCAGCCCGTGAGGCCGCTGCCATAAGGGGGGTGGGGGGAATCCGTCTCGGTGCGCGGGGCCGTGTCTCCATTCATCCGTCGGTCTCCCCGCACACGCACACGCCCACGCCCACGCCCACGCACACGCACACCGGGTGCAGTGGAGGCAGGCTCGGCAGAGCCGGGAGGCGGCGGATCACCGGGGTGCGGAGTGCGGCTCCCTTTCAAAGCCCCGACGGGGCCGGGACGGAGCCGCCGCTCTGCCCCGGCCGGGCTCGTCGTTACCGACTCAAGCGACACGTCCCCGGCGGCCCCGGGAGCCGCATCCCCCCGCGCCGGCTCGGCCGAGCCCCGCTCCAGACAGGAGGGAGACAACTGAGGCGAGCCGCACTGGAGGCGGCGGGAAGCGGGGTTACTCCAGGTTGGCTAAAAATAACTTCTCCTAATTAAAGAAAAGTGACGTCAGACGTGCAGGACGTCGCGAGGCCGAGGCAGGGGGCTCTTCGCAGTGGGGAGCAAATTCAGGGCTTCGGCCGCCGCCGCGGGCCAGGCCCCCCGGGCCCCGGCCCGCACA